GACCAGTGTCTCACAAGGCGATGAGCTCAGAGGTTGCACTAACAAATGAGAAATTACCTAATGAGCAGATTTCAGGAAGCTGTAAATATCTCCTTTGATGCTTTCCCTCAATCTTGTGTATCTTGGGCTAGAAAGCATATGGTTGATTCTTTTGGAGTCATACATATGACTGAGGGACTGTTGCTTGACACCTTCCTGCTGCGTTCTCTGTGGACAGAGCATCAGTCTGTGCTAATATCTATCCAGAAAGGAATTTTTACTTCTGTACAATGACCTTCCTCATGAATATTCCATTCAGGTGAGTTTGAGAGCCCAATAGATACTGCAGGAAAGAGCCAGGGAGAATGGAATGTAACCCATTCTAACCCGAGCTTAGAGAAGACTGTGTGTGTTTGTTGTTTGCTTGCTGGGTAATTGGTTCATACATGTCTTTTAATACATTAGAAAGAGAACTGTCTATTAATGAGAATATGTCTGAGAATATGGAAAACACACCTTTAGCATATCCTCCACACAAGTTTTTACCATTTTCTGTCTCTTATCAATAATTTCTCTGAGATCACATTCTCTCATTTCTTTTCACAATACACATATATTCACAATCTATTCTATTTCAGTCACCATCTAAACTATGCCCAGGAAGAATGCAAAGTGTGAAAAGCCTTGCTACATCCCTCAAGGTACTCACAGTATAGCAAAAAAAAAAGACATGAAATTAAATGAAAGCAATACAGCGTGATAGTCCTTTCTATTCAAAGTAAGTACATGTAAGAAGTTGTGTCTTCTCTGAAAATGGTAAAATACATTATCAAAGGAAAAGAGTCCATAAGGTTGTGGAAGATGAGATGGAGTTTTTCACCTGGAAAGTGTGTGAAAAATTCCAAGTGGATCAGTGTGTGAGAGATCCCAAGCAGAGGAAATGTGGTGTGTAAAGTTGCTGAGTATGGAAAATATGGCAGCAGGTGAAGCTTCAAGACACATTCAAAGCCTTGAGATGAAATGCAGGAGAAAGTGACACTGCCAGGTTGGGCATGGAGAGTCAAGGTTTGTATGTGAAGACAGGGATTGTGAATTAATATCAAGTGGGAATTTCTGGGATGTATGTATTAAATAAACAAGTTTATTTCTCATATTTATAATATTTTATGAACAATTTTATCTGGGTCAATGTGAATATCTGGCTAGAGAGTTGCAATCTGGGATTGCTGGGACAGATGATAAGGATAAGAAATAGAGCTATGAAATCTGTGACTGAGAGGTGTTCAACAATGAAGGCATTTATTTGATCAGTAGAGGAAAAAGCCAGCTAGCAGAAAGACACTATGCTAAATTTAAGTTCATAGATCACGTTTTCTAGCCTGCATACCGCCATCCCTAGTATATAGGTAAAGATTTTATGTTTCAGAATGGTTCCATTGCCTATTCACATATGTTAGATTCAAAATTCAACTCCTGGTTTCACTGATTCCGTAAGTTTGGCGTTAAGTATTTTGAAAGTCTTCTAAGGAAGTCCTGGTGTGGAACTGTGGGTTAATGTGCTGGACTGCAAAGTTGATTTGAACTTCAAGGTTGGCAGTTAAAGATGACTAGCTGCTCCTTGGAAACATTATATGGGGTCGCTATGGGTCAGAACCGACTTGACTACACTTAACAACAACAACAACAACAACATGGTCTCATATAAAATATTCCCAGCCTGTGATATGCTTTTTGTATTTTCTTTTGTGAATTATTTATTCTCCTTTTTCACTTTCACTTGATGTCTTCACACTGTAGAGATATCACCCTTTTGTCTTTCTGACACATTGTTTCTGTTCTCCTAACACATTTTCTGGGCATCAAGGGGACATAAAGGGTTTTCAGCACTACTAGAATCAAGGAAGCTTTCTCTTCTTCACAATGTCTCAGAGATGATTGGAGCCTGTATCTTTCCTATGCCCCTCAGATTTACATCATATCTTTCTCTTTCTCTCCATGTTGAGTAGATTTTTCTCTTTAAACCCTGGGCATAAAATGACCATACCGAACTGAATATCTGAGTTGACATGTCTTGGGAGGATTCCCAACTTCAATATCAGGGTACCATTTCAAAATTTTGTGGGATAAAATAATCTGATTTTGTCATCATGCAATTTATCTATTCTTGGGCTAATTTGTGTGTGTGTGTGTGTGTGCAGTCTTTGTTGGGCATAAGCAAGTTTCAAAGTAGAGGTTGCTGGGCTCAATTATTTTTAAAGGAGTCACTAACAATATAGAGGGAAGATCTTAAAATCAGAAATTGAAATGAGGATGGGAATCTTTTACAACCAATAACTAAAGTACAAGTAGTACAATGCTTGGACCTAACAACCACATGTACTTGAAGTTTCAGCAACAGAAAGACCACCATCTCTGATCACTTTCTTTCTTACTCATCCCTCTCACTACACTGACTTCCTTGATGACCTTGAAAATCTGAACTAAGCTCCTTTTTCAGGGTCTTCTCATTCTTGAGACCTTGTCCACATGTTACCCTGCCTGTTGGTATTACAAGAACATTCAGTAAATAGTTAGTCTGTCCTCAGGTCAGCATTCCCTGCTCACTCTCTCATTTGGACCATATTCCTTTTCTCAGAGTTCCTTGTCACCATTTGACGTGTTTAATGATTATTTATATTCTTTGTAGATGTTAGGTTATACCTTTGTTTTTTGAGACAGCATCCACATAGAACAGACTTTTTCTGGAAAATCTTGAAAATTTGTAAGTCAGCCACTTCATGCCTTTCATTGTTGTTGTTGTTGTTGTTTTGTGAACCCTCAAGCCCAAAGACACTGACCTAACCATTGTGGGCTACAGTTCAGAATGAAGCAGCCAGCTGATTTGAAGATGGGGGAGGCATGCGAGAACTCCCAGACTGCAGATAGACCTAGTGTAGATGGATTGCTAATGAGAATTCAGCCAGATCAAGATAAAGTGTGATATAGGGAGCAAGTGTAAAGTGCCTGATGAACTAGACCCTTGCTTATGGATGAAGCTGCCCCAAATTCCAATCGAATAGAGAAGGATCCTTCATATCAAGGATCCAGCATGGATCCTTAGTACATGGGATTGATTGGGATGGGTAACTTAGAATTCAGCTAACAAAATTGGGGTAGGGGCTATAAAGGCATGAAGTGGCTGGCTTATAAGCATTCATGAGGTGCTTAGTTTCAGAATGAGGGGAGTAAGACAGATACCCTACTGACATAGTGCTGGAGAGTTGATGTAATCTTGAGGTAAGACTGTACAAGTGTATTGATGACCTTCCCAACTAAAAGAAAACTGCTTCTGGTGATTCTTAGAAACTCAAATTTTGAAAACGGTATTGGCCAGATCAATAGCTGAGTACCAGGTACCTGGAGATGTATGGATTTAATCAAGCAAAGAAGCATCATCTGGGACAGAGATGCAATAAGAGTTACAAACTGCCTAAGTTTCATTAATTCACTGTCATTCTCCAAGATCCATTTGTTTTTCACATGGGCCAGATAAGTGAGTTAAATGGCGATATATTGGGAATTGCTACTCTTGTATCCTTCAAGTCCTTGGTTGTAGCCTTAATTTCTGCAATCCCTTCAGGAATGCAGTATGGCTTTGGTTTATCATCTTGCTAGGTAAAGGTAGTTCTAATGGTTTCCACTTGGCTTTTTCAACTATAATAGTCTGTATTCTACATTTCAAGGTTCCGCCAGTTGCTTAGCAAGTCTAGTCCAATTATGTATTCTGGAACTGAAGAAATCATTACAAGATGAGTTCCAGAACCCACTGAAACTACAGTTGATGGATCTTAGCTAAGATTCCATTAATAACTTGACCTCCATATGCCCCCACCCTGACTGGTAGACCACAGTGACCTTTTGAGTCTCCTGGAATTAGTGTTAGTTCAGAGTCAGTGTTCAGTCATCCTTCAAAAATCAGATTCTTTATTTCCCCCTATAAACAGTGACCCTTGTAAAGGCCATAGATCCCTTTGGGGAAGGCTGGAAGTAAGACTAACAGCTGACAGTATAATAGGGTCCTAACACAAGGGGGCCTGGCCACTACTTCATTCAAGGGGTTGAGGTTCTGTAACTGGCTCATATCTGGGAATTGATTGAGAGTCCATGACTCTCTGCTCTGGTGATTCAAGTTAGACTGCCATTTACTTGATCCAGAGTT